ATAAATTTGTTGTAGTTTGCTCCCTCTTGCGGCTTTTTAACCAATACACTGTCGACACACTGGGGTTCAATCTGTCTCGCCCTTGGTACGCTCCATCTCTGAGCAACCATAGTGCATGTTAGGTCATCGGGAACGCTTTTAAAACCTAGTTGCTTCAGGTGTGCCAGGTAGAACAACAAACCAATAAAATGATGACAAAAGCCACCAGCACCAGCCACACAGGAACATTTTCCCGACACCTTCTTATTCTCAGTAATGATGATCAATTGAAGTGAGTGAGCTGGTTCACTTTTCTTCATGGATCTGTGGCATCTTGCAAACACTACTGCCTCGGTAGCTCCATAAGTGACTACCAAAAATAAAAATAAATGGTTTTGAACCTGTAAGACTGCTGTTAAGATTCATGGTTATTGAATGTTGAAAAATTATTTTCAGACTTACTTTTAATATCGTGGAGGTATCCAGGTTCAGCGAAGAATTTATAGGCTTTAGCAGTGCTTTCGCATCCTGTGGAACTTGCTGCATACTTTTCAACGTCAGTAAAAGTTAGAGACGGAAACCGCGAAAGATCGACGGTTTCTGTTCTGTAACGATTAAAGAAATTTTTATAACTTATGATAAATGACTTTAATCAGCTTTTACAATGCTTATGGTACGAATAAGCTTAAACTGAGAACGGCCGACTGTTAAAACTCGATTCTAAAACTAGTTTGTGTTGGAGAAATTCAAGCTAGAAAAAGCTGATTAAACTTAAGTCGATCTTTTCCACCTATCACTGTAAGACTATAATTTGAACTAATAAGGAAAAAAGAAAAATATTTACACCCCTTTGAAAGCGAGAAAGGTCAGTGACACGACAATAAAGGCTATACGTTTGCAAATTCGAACAGCGAGGAAGTGTGTTCAAACTGTTGAAGTAAACGGAACATCGAAAGCGATTTTTTAAAGCAATAAATAAATGAACGATTTTTAATAGAATCTGAGAGACTAGTACACATCATACATGTCTGCAAGTAACCCATTGTCTTGAAACAAAGCAAAAAATGGCGAGGAAACTTGATATATTTACCTTTCCGGGTCATAAGCGGCAGCCATTTTTTCCATAGTAACGCATAGCAACCGATTTGTTTGCCCTCCAACATGGCGGCGAATGACACGTGACCTCTTAGTGCAAATGGCCTAGTGAAATCACTTCTTTGTCAAATTGTTGGTGCGGCATTGTCAAGGGAACAAACAAACCAATCATGAGCAACCTTCCTAAACTGCCGTGCGACCAGCTGCTGACCAACAACTAATTGCGAAAGTTGTTAGTTCAGCCTTGATAACGAAGGGTTTTTTTACAGCAGTGAACAAGTTGTAGGTAAGTTATGTTTCAAATATTCAGTCTAGTAGCGCAATCTTTGCAAACCCAGTGTACAATAGGACAAAAATATACTGTCAGTAGTTAGCAACAGAAGGTCATTCTTTCGAACGCGCCCTCTCCTAAAGCTAGAAATCATGTGCAAATTTGTGTTTTTCTTTTTTATACCTTATTTGAAAGAAATTCTTCTGTTTAAAAAAAAAAAGACGAACGAAAACCACTGGAGAACGTTCTGAAACCCTAATTTGCTGCTTCTGCTTTCATATACAGTAGAACCGCGGTAACTCGAACTCTGAGGGTAAACGAAAAACAGTGCCAGTTGTATAGGTAATAGCATGATTTGTAGTGATATTTGGCATAAATACCACGAGTGATATGTCCAAATTGTTATACGTAATTTCACGAGCCGTTAGGCGACTGAAATTTGAGACAATTTTGAAATATCACGAGTGGTATTTATGCCAAATATCACGTACAAATCATGCTATTATTTGTTTATACCACACCCGCAAAAGGTTTGTAATTTGCACATGTAGGTATTTCAAATTAAGCTGAAATACCACTGCTCTAAGCCAATCAAATTGCAGGAATTTCTCATGTAGTGGTATAAACCGGGGAATTCGAGTTATCGGGGTAAATTTCAGTGAAATTTTGATGAAGGAAAAGGAAATTTAATTCCAGTTAGCGGGAAAATCGAGTTATCCGAAATCGATGCAATTTTATGCTTTACGTAAGTCAGAATTTTTTCAGATTTCTTTCTCCGCCACATTTTCGAATTTGAAAATTTTAGTTTTGTACGAAATATAGCTAAACTTGGAGTGCAAAATGTGAAATATTAAACTTCAGAACATCGTAGTGAACTCGCTACATATTGCTTCGAAAATCGTATATCAGTTGAACAGTCGTCTAGAAATTTTTAGCCGTCCTGAAGCTATAGAAACCTAGTATCTCGTAACGAGCTTTAGCGCCAACAAATTTTATGCAAATTACTGGCTACACATTGAATGTGCAGCCAGCTAACTGGTCATTAGCAGCTTGAAGAACCAATACAGCTATGATGTGACCAGAAATTATCTAAACTGTTATTATTGTTATTATTATTTAGAACGGAACACTTGTCTCCACACCAAATTCATGACAGGAGTTAGTATCAGTTGATGATAAATCCACAATTTCCATATTGCTTGCATTTGTATTGTTTAACAAGAGACTATTCAAAAGCGTATTATAGGCATTATTGTACTAACTTTAACCAGGGAATATATTGCATCTATAATGACTAAAGGCTTGCTCACCGATGGTGGCATCGATCCGGACCTTTTAAAATGACATCGACCGGCGGTTCACGAAAGGAAATGGGCAACACCGATGATCTTTGGCATCATTTGGATCCAAATATTATATGTTACATTCTTTGGTAACTCAAGCTTAACTCAATCTTAATTTCTACGTCAACTCAAACTCTCAACCTGGGCCCAGTTTCTTGAAGCATGGTTAGCGTTAACCAGCGTTTAATACCTTGACAACGTATTGGTTTTGATACTGCTTAACCAATGGTTAAAGCTAACCATGCTTTGAGCAACTCAGCCCTGATCGTTGTCCTCTCCCCGTGCTTACTTAGCTTTTGCTAAAACATTTTTCAGGTCACTGATTTCTTTGAAGAATAAAGAGTGCTCAGAAAACCGTTTCTGCCAGGACCGAAAACATGAAACGATTCTTGAATGTGGGTTTCGCAGTTTTTGCAGGAGTAATGGTTCTTTACATGCTGGAGTTCCATCTGTTGGAGGGACACGGACAAACTTTTCTTTTAGCTTTTTTCACCCCTTCCAACAAAACACAGAATATCAGTATCAGTAGAAATTCAAGCAGAGCAGCTGAAGTTAAGTCAAGCGAGATACCAATCGACCACTACGTGCCAGTCAGTGATCCTACTTTCGCCGGGAAGACATTTGAAATGGACAATGAAACCTTCCGAATCGTACAGGATTTTCTAAAGGAAAACGTTTTTAAACGTAAACCTGTGAAGCTAAATCCCAAAGCATCGTATTTTGACGTCGTTGTTCCTGTCTCTGCCGCTTCCAGCAACCATTTTGGAGAGCTGATGAGAGTTGTAGATCACTTTCCCAAGCACTTACCAGGAGTTAAATTGGTTTGTTATGATATTGGACTCAGTGAGCCGCAAATGGATATATTGAAAAGCAAAACTCATGTTATCTATAGAAAGTTTGAATTTGAGAAATATCCACCTCACATCAAAAACTTAAAGAACTATGCTTGGAAATTGCTGCTAATAGGAGAACTGTTATCAGAATTCGATGGAGTAATGTGGATTGACAGTTCAATCAGAATTTACGGTCATTTCGACCATATTTTGGAAAGAATGGTTCACTTTAACTCTGGAGCTCTGTTCTTTCTTAAAATTGAAAGAGAACATTCAATTGCAATGGCCACCAATCCAAAGATGATTGAATATTTTCCAGTGTTCCCCAAAGAAGGCCTAACAGAAACTATGTTACCAGGGGGTACAATTCTTTTGTTTAACACGGAAGATGTCCAAGAGCATGTCATGAAGTGGGCAGCGGTCTGTGCCCTTGTTACAGATTGTATAGCACCTCCAGGATCAAGACTTCATTGCCCAGGCGGTTTTTGGGAGGCACCACGAGAAAAGCATGGCGGTTGTCATAGATATGATCAAGCTCTTCTGAGCCTTCTTGTTACAAATCTTTATCATAATGAACGTGAAAGGTTCAGCTTAAATAACACTGAAGCTTTATCTGATACGGGCTTTAGGGGCTAACTTCTCTTTTTGCCTACATACATAGAGGATATTACATGGTGGCGCGAAGATATGAATTTTATTTTCGAGTGGCAAAACAATATTGCTTTATTGTATTTATATAGACAAAAAGACATCAATATAATAATGGATTTTTATTCGCCAAAAAGTAATTGTGACAGCTCAAATTTACAATACAGCAATATAAGACATTGTTTACTATAATCTTGAGAAATAACACTGAGCTGAATAGGGCTGTACATTGACAAAATATTACCCTGCGAGCAGAAGCTACATTTTTGCGGTATGAGATGGCGAGCGAAAAGTAGCCTCTGCCGACAACCGTTTAGTTTGCTACACAGCCGTTTTTAGTGACGTCACGCAACGCTCCTCCCCACAAACAAGAAAGCCATCAATTTTAAGGAAAATTGAAAAGAAAGATTTGGAGAAGTTTGACCTACAGTTAGTTTGTGATGAACGGCGTGAACGAGCTCTGGTTTTTTATTCATTCCTTCTCACTTCGGCTATCAATAAAAGAACGAAATCTTTCGACTGGTTGGGAAGCTTGGCTATCGCAGGATCAATTCTGTTGAAACAGCGAAACAAGGACATGAGCGCTGCTGCATCTGTGATAGGTATTCTCCTGAAAAGCAAGTCTGTTGAGGTGCGATTCGTTTTATTGATCTTGAGCTTATTTTACTTTTGATACTTTTTATTCAGTTTTATTTCGTGTCATAAGTATCTGAAATTGTTCAAGCTAAATTACAGGACATTTATTATTTAAGGTCAATCTGTATTTGATAAAACAATACACACAATAACGTCATAAAACTGCTTTATTCTCTGAATGATAAAATAATCGTGGTATTTAAGAAATTTCTATTTTAAAAGATGCTATTAATCATGAACTAAAAAAAAAATCTTCATATAAAAGAGATCTATTTAAAATGTATTATGAAATTTCTAACATAGGTCGTTCTTTGTGTCACAGGCAACCCTCGGTAGGCTCAACAGACTGAAGGTGACAAATTCAAACAGTCAGATTCTTTACACGTTGGACAAACTTGGGGGTGATCATGATGCCCTCCTTTTGAAAGCAAGGGACACAATTTCTCAAGAAAACTCCAAAGCGATAGAGATTCAAGAGAAGCACAAAAATATTTTGATGCAATATGAATCCTATCAAACATGCACAGCAGTGTGCCACCAAAAGCAAACTAAAGTCAGGATGGTGGAGTATGAATTCAAGAAAGCTGCACACCCTGGATTTGTTATCTCATTTGACAATCTGGACTTCCAGCTACAGCGAAAGAGTATGACAATGCAATCGCAAAACCGTGACTTTCATTGGGTGAACCACCAAATGATTGAGAACAGGGTGTCTGGAGCACTCCTTGACTCCAAACAACCAAAAGCCAATCTTCAGGAGTTGTCAAACCTGCAGTTTTTACCAACTATTGAAGACCAGCAACGGCAAAGGTCCAATTACATGATTTTAACAGCACGGATTTTAGTGGAATACTTTGATGTTTTGAAGCCTTTAAAGGAAGCGTGCATCTATCATATTCCCCACAAATATACTGAGGAGATGTCAAAGAAGTCAAAAAAGGTTATTAATTACTAGTTGAACTAATTGTGACATTGTTATCCAAATATTATTTATTCAAAAGTCTGACTAACCATCCGAATGCTTATTATTTTTATACACTTTATGTATCCATAAGTCAAGTCCAGTGGAAACCAACAAATGTTTTCCCTTAATCTCTGAAACCTTTCCAAGTACAGTCTTGCTGTCAATGTTCCGAACAAGTTCAATAAGAGCTCTACATGTTCGTTAGGATTTCACCTCTGGTTCAAAATGGTGTTGCAGAAAATTATATACCAGGTGGCAAAAAATTTGGGCAAAGATGTTGCATTAAGGGAAGAAAACAACATTTGGGATAGAAATGACATAAATTTGAAAGAAGCAGGAAATGTGGGATCAGCAACCCTTCCCTCAAGATTCTTGAGGTTGTGACATCATATACTAATATATTTTATCTATGGTATTTTTTTTATCTCTTTAAATAATTTATTTATTATTGTTTTGGTCAGGTTCCCCTGGGAATTATTTTCAAGAATGAAAATGTAAATGAACACATGATGTCAATACTTCAACAATTCCATTCCTACCTCCTGCAAGCAAGTGATGGTGGTGTGGATGGTCAGATATTTTCTGGTGACCAGCTCACTGTTGAAAGGGCTGTGAATGTGATTTTGCCGGTGGCAAATGGCTACACCCCAAAGGACCGCTTGGAAGGCATCAATCTCCAATTGGGGGACTTGCATGCAGCTGTTAAAGTGCTAAGTGTATGTTTATGATTGTATTATGCCTAAAATATTACTAGTTTGATGTTCATAACTTTCCTATTCAGCAAAATGCTGTAAATGTAATGCTCTGATTAACCTCTCTTGTGACCACCCACTGTATGGAAACACCATTGAAACACCTTTTTTTTACAATGCATTAACACCTCTAAATGCATAGGCTTCAAAGCACACATGATTTAAATCTATAGAATGAGTGATACTAGATCACTCTGATCATGGATGATTAAAGAATAAAATAATTTTTTCTATTAAGACAGGGATTAATTTATTGGTACATCTGGTGCACCATGATTCAGATAATCTTGAATCATACATTTGTAACTCATGAACTGGATATCCACTCTCTTCCTCTTCCTTTTTGGGGGGTATATTTTCAATTTTGTTGAATTGTCTAGTGTTGTATTTTTAGATCCCTATCATAAAAAAAATTATAGGAAAATTAAAATTTTTAGCTTACAGCGAAATCACTGCAAATTCATATTGTTTTTTGTTTGTTTGTTTGTTTTCAACAGTTAATCTACTCTAGATTCTTTAGTGGAAAATCTGATGTAGACATCTGCACCATGGTTTGCTGATTGCACCCTAATAAACAGAAGGAATGTAACAAGTGATACCCACTCTTCGTACCGAGCGAACCGAGACTTTTTTTCAGTTGTGTTTACATCAAGGGTAATTGTTGCTGCCATGAAGGTGTTAGGCTTTGAGAACAAGGCAGGAGCCCCCTCAAACCATAGCTTGCCCACGAACTTAAATTCAATGAAGAAGGCAGAAAAGCTAGATTGTCTGCTTGAAATGTCAGCAAAGGTAGTTGATGAATTTGTTTTTCAACATGCTTCGAACGTGAATGACCTTGTGAATCGTGTGGTCACTCAGCAAGAAAGGGATGAAGTTCTTAACCGTCAGCAACTGACCCCCGATGGGAGGTTTCCATGCCGGTACCCTGGATGCGAGAGGTCATTCAAGTATAATGGAAAGTCAAGAAGGGCTCATGAGTTAGCACATGACCCTCCAGTTCAGGTGGAAGATGAGGTAAATGACTTCACCTCATCAACCCCTAATCCTCCCCAAGGTGAATCAAAACCAGAGGATGATNGCACCCTAATAAACAGAAGGAATGTAACAAGTGATACCCACTCTTCGTACCGAGCGAACCGAGACTTTTTTTCAGTTGTGTTTACATCAAGGGTAATTGTTGCTGCCATGAAGGTGTTAGGCTTTGAGAACAAGGCAGGAGCCCCCTCAAACCATAGCTTGCCCACGAACTTAAATTCAATAGAGAAGGCAGAAAAGCTAGATTGTCTGCTTGAAATGTCAGCAAAGGTAGTTGATGAATTTGTTTTTCAACATGCTTCGAACGTGAATGACCTTGTGAATCGTGTGGTCACTCAGCAAGAAAGGGATGAAGTTCTTAACCATCAGCAACTGACCCCCGATGGGAGGTTTCCATGCCGGTACCCTGGATGCGAGAGGTCATTCAAGTATAATGGAAAGTCAAGAAGGGCTCATGAGTTAGCACATGACCCTCCAGTTCAGGTGGAAGATGAGGTAAATGACTTCACCTCATCAACCCCTAATCCTCCCCAAGGTGAATCAAAACCAGAGGATGATGTATTTAACTATAACTGTGCTTTGCTGACAGATGGATTTCTTTTCTTCAATTTCCTTGATGCAATTAAAGAAGGGGATGGGTCGAGGATAATGAGGCAGTACAAGTACATTATGTTGTACTGCAAATCCGATGGCACGCACAGTACGAAATATGCACTGGAATGCTTGTACCAGTTTTTTCTTGTTCACTCTATTCTATCCCAGAGAGGCTCTGAACGGTTTACATGGAACCATTCAGTCAATAATGCTGGTAAGATTGGTACAAACATTCCACTTGATGAAGCCACTGAACACAGCAATAACTTCATCAAGCAGGGCATCAGAAACTTGGGACCAAATGTCACAGAGAAGGCAGTGTCACGACTCTCTTTCTCTGAAACATCCACGACAACAGTCCTGAGCAATCTTGATGAATCAATCAAACGGATGTTAAGATCTGGGAAACATGTAGAAGGATCTGCAACAAGAGATCTTCAGGAGCTCATCAAGAGAGCAGTTGATTTCGATGTCTTTACACAAATTCAAGGGAGGAGCTATAAGCACTTCAAAGACTTTCAGTCCAACAGACTAGAAAGCATAGATGCCTCAAGTTTATACCAGTGGATCAACAAACATAAGAAGAATATCACTTGGGGTATTAGAGCACGATAAACATTTGCGTGCAGTAAAAGATGCACATTGTTTGCTCCAGAAAATACACAGCCTCCTAGTGTTTGAATGAAACCTCAAACCCTTCCCAGTAGTTGACTTTCATCCTCAGAAATATTGCAATGATCCGAAGTAAGTCTGATTATACTAGGTATTTTCTGGAACCAAACAATGAGTATTCTTTCTTTGATGGGTACAAGAAAGTAATTAACAAAATGAAGACATCAATGCTATAAATTTGAAGACTGAACTCATTTAATTACAAATGATTCATAACCCTGTATTTTGATACAAACACATGCATTATTTTTGTACAGCTTAGTAGACCATTCCTGCATTTTATGCCAGAGAGCCTATGCAAAGACTTGGGTAGACAATTGGAGACAACTTGTTGTATTCAGTCAATATAAGCCTTGATATTTTTCTTGTTCAATGAGACAATTGCATGATGACGATATTTGACTACGACTACCAGAATTCATTTCGGTTTTGCTTTGTTACTTAAATTTGTCAATCCTGCTGAGGATTAAAAACAATAGCCTTAATTTGCA